GTGGGGGGGGGGGGGGGGGGGGGGGGGGGGGGAGGGTAGGGATGGGGAGATGAGCTAATAATTGAAAAATATCACTTTTTGGAAAAAAAATAATTTGTTAACTCCTACTCACGAGGGCATCGCACAAAATAGCAATTGCTGTTTACATGGGAAAGAAATAAGTTTTCACTGCTGTAACTCCTGAAATGTGACTTCCCTGTCTGAACTGTAGAGTATTCTACCCAAAAAAGGGAAATTAGAATTTTGTAGAACAATACGCGCAAATCAACTGTCAGTTCTGTGTAATTAATTATGCTGAAAAGAACGAGATATTTGGTCAAAACGCCAGCACTCGTGTTAAATGCGGTTGTGCTTCTTGCGGAAAAGGCCAAAATGAAGCCCGGGGGTAGAAATTAAGACATTGATGGTTACTGCAACTTCATAGGCTTATTAAATATTAGCGTCTCTTTATAAAATTGATTTTATAATCATTGAGATAATGAAGTTACTTATTGGATATGAAGAAAAAGCCAGAAAAGTTACTAAACTTAGAACCAACTAACTGCATCAAGGTAATTTTATCTACCTAGAATTTAAATTTCAATAGCACAAACATGAAATTAACATTGATTTCTGGGTCCTTATTTCTAAACACTGGGTAATGCTCCCTTAGCAAAGTGGACGATCTATTAAATTTTTAAATGAAATTAAGTTGTGGTACTCCGACCATGTGCACCACTTAAAAGTAACCCCCACCTCCCTCCCCCGTCCCCATCCACCACGAATTCAATGAATGTGCTTTAAATACTTTGTCATGTTTGAATAAAGCAGGTATTTTGCTTGTTTGTGAAAGATTTTAATGCTGTCCACTCGTTTTGGAGGTATTTTATTCTTTGCTTCCATTTATGTTGTTTGAGTGTGAGGTGTGCAGTGATTGGTACATTCGCCTGGTTCTTAGTGGCTTAGAAGGTGACAGGATCTTTTCGTTCTTATTCTGCGGCTTCACTGATAAAGTTTGCTATACTTTCACAGTACGTCAACATTATTACCTCTCATCTGGAAATACTTCAGAGAGGATACTTTCTGATGTAATTGCAACTTTTATGAACTAACCTTAAAGGATGTAGTAGTACTATCTAGAAGTTATTACATTTTGAAGAACCGCTTCCAAGTCTGGAGGCATTCTATGATCGATTAAGCTGGCATGACTGTCCCTCAGTTAACTAGCAACTTTATCCATACGCGGATGCAAATCGCATCTGAATGCTTAAGGAGTTAACTGAGACTAAAACTGGCGTCTGTCTTGAGGGGTCTTGATTTCTAAGCGTTAGTAACATGCAGACAACTTGCATTCCCATGATAGCATTCTGTCTCAATCCGGTCTAGTTCAGATATAGTGTGCTGATGTCTAGTGGGTAGATATTCTGTATCGATTGTAACTAGTGCTGCACCTTAGATGGGGCAAGCTTTGGTAGGATAGGAGTGGAATAAAGGAAAGTAAACTTACTTTGTGACGTCAAAACAGAGCACAGCCACTTCAATTCCAGCATAGACACCTGCAGCCAATGAACTGTATTCGGGTGAGCCGGGCTGAAATGCATGTTTAGAGGGTAATTAAATTGCATCAATAGTATATAATTATTTAATTAAATTTAGGCTAAAATTGCGGTATTTTTTTAAAAATTTAAACAACAAACATTAAAAAATTTTAGCACCTTAAAGATATAAGCCGACTAACAAGTGGGAGGGGATTATTTTCAAAACTCTGCTTAAACTTTTATGTCTCTAAGCAACATGTTAATGTACTATAATTGGCAAGCGGCATGACTTATTTTATTTTTTCATAATATGTCGTTTGAGTTTGTGGTATTAATGTGTATGGAATAGCGTAGTGAAATTTCCCAAGAGGGGGTGGAGGGGGGGGGGGTGAGGGAGTGAGGCGGATAATTTCAAAATAATCCGAAATTATTCACATTATCTCGTTATTCGATAACTTTGAGGTGAAATAATGATTAAATGGTGGGTGTCTAGTAGAGTCCATTAAATAGAACTACTTTTAAAGCATTTAAAGATGTGGGAATTATTTAATCTCTTTATTATTATTATTATTATCGTACAGGAAATAATTGTTTCATGCCTGTAGGATACACCTTAAAACTTCATTAATATATTGAACTAAGAATTTGAAATTGTAACTAGGGTTCGACCATTGAAATTCAAATAGTGATTTCATCATTTCCGCATTTTTTGCATTCTTAATGTCGAATGTTAATCTTTATTTGGGTTTGCCAAATGTACACTTCTTTTAAGTTAGAAGGAAGTAAATTGACACCCCACACCACAGTCAGTGATATGGTTGGTCAACCCCAATAGCCATTCCTGATCAATAGTGACAATCATTAGAAAGTGCATCTAGCAGCACTGAGCTACTCGGGCTCTTCATATTCGGATCAAGCGCTTTGATTTATGGGTCTTCGCTAACCTTCAAATATGTAACAACTGAGTTATGAGTGATCTTCAGACATTCCTCGAATTGACCCAAATCAATCAATGATTAAAGTAATGTCGAAAGGAAAAAACGATATTGAAAATTAATCAAATTCCAATCAGTACTCGTTAAGTAAAACAGTAGTGAAAATGAAGGATAAACTGACACAAAATAACTCATATTTACCCTTCAATTTGTCGTTCATTTGCCTACTAAGTCTGCTACAAACTATTTGATGAACTACCTAATAGTGTAGTAGTCAGAATACCCATAAATGAAATGAAATTTTTGAAAACGAGAAAATATTGATTCCGAGTACAAAATAAATTTCAACTAATGGAAAAGACATGAAGGCTTAATTTAAGTTAGTTGAGTAATCGATGAACAAAATTGCCTCCCTGCCAAGTCTGCTATTTTATGTTGAATTCTCTACTGCTCTCCCCCCCTCTCTCTCTCTCACTAATTGTGTTCACAGTAACTTGACCTCAAACCTTAATGGCGAGCCAATTATTCTCAAGCCAGTAATCATACCATGAAAATCACATCCAGGTGGGAGAAAGTTCATAGTGGGTGCCAATTTTAAATGCAAAATTATTCCTCTTATACGACGTCAATCGATTTTATGAATTCAATTAGCGCAAATAAGCTTACCACATCGTAAAAGGAGAATTGGACGCTGGTTCCGTAGACGTTTTCTTTGCAAACGGGCATATTCAAGAAGGTGGTCGTGTTAGTTTTGATGAATTTCTTTTCGGTAAATCGACCCACAAGAGCCGTTTTCCCGACATCTATTTGAGGGGATGTAGGTTTTAATAAGTGATTTATCCAAAGCTAGACTATCTCATCATTTTATTACATAACAATGACAAAGATTAACAACCTTAAGTAAATTCTCGATAGCAATCCTTAATTTATCAATATTTAAGTTATCTTAAATTAGATTAAATCGGTGATTAAATAATAAAGTTATGCAAACTATTATAAATATCTGTTGAGCAAATTACATAACTGAAACACTCTCAAGATCGATAAAAATAAACATAAATTATTAACGAAAAATCGCCTAAATAAAGAAAATATTCGGCCTGTATTTTCCTATTACATTTGTTTAAATTTATTGCAAAAAACAAAATATGCGTAAGTAGTAAAAAATGTTTCGGAAATTTCATAGTCAAATTTCATTAAAATTTGCTATATATATATAAACTTTAAATGGTAATTTTAATTCAATCCTTTCTCTTTCTCTCAAATAACCTAACGCCTGATCTCATTTAAGTAATTTATTGATATTTTACTTGCACAAAACATCATGTCAAATTCATACCTTTGTCACCGAATACACCAACATTCAAAGTCTTTTCTTCTGCCATTTTGTGCCGTTAGAAATTGTGACTCAAGCTGCAGTAATCAACCTACTCACTTATGCACATGATTTCTATATATATATATATTGGTGTGGTGTTCTGTCTGCAGACGTGATCTCAACTCTTGTGCATCATCGACATTATCATGCAGGCAACCACATTTTGACAAAAAGCACACTCACATCTGATGTCATTGGAGGCAAAATTGATTTGGCACAATAAGTGTGGTGTCACTAGGCCTGGGCTGAGTGAGATATATATGCTTGTGTGTGTGATTACAAATAAAGGTAAAAGTAATTTCGCCTTGAAGTAAAAAAATTCGAATTACTCTGAAAAAATAAATCACTTGAAGAGGTGGGTGGCATTTAAACTACTTCACTATTGAACCTTCTCGATACAAGGAGAAATACTTCGATCGATCTAAAAAACAGATAGATTGAAAGGATCTTTGCTCTTTAAATAATCGCATATTATTGTTGAACTAACAATCAATCTGTTCTGATAATAGGGTCAATAATTTGCGTTCAATGTAGGGAGTATACAAAGACTAGAATTGTACTTTCCCAAGTCCCCTTAATTAGTGTGCTCTCTAATTACGCTTTACTACAATTTAACATTTCTAGTCTTAGTTGCTATAGACGTCTCAAAAGGAAGTTCGCAGTTTATCAATCAGTGGGGTGGAATATTCACCTCACAAGGGTATAAGTGTTGGTTTCATGAGCTCAAATGCACATTATAATTGAATAGAAACTGAACATTTTTCAAAACCAGAAAAGCTTTCTTGCATGTTTGTACCTTTATATACGACGAATTATTTCCAACTCTATGTAATTCTAGTCTGGCTCAAAACCTTCATGCAGGAGATTAGATTTTCTTTCTGTCGGGAAAATTTCAAAATACGTATTAGATATATAATTGAATAAGCTTTTATCCGCCTTCCTCTGCGTTAATTTTTTCTCTAATTACATAGAAAAATCAATAAGACTGTCAAAAGCTGTGTAGGTTAGCGGGCATTTTGCTACTTATGAATTTAAGTAGGCCGAGCTGGCAACTTAGCAGCTATTAGGAGCGCTTTTACTAGCACGTGGGTAAGTAATAATTCTGGACCCTGGGGATATAAAAATCGCACGAACATCACTTACTTGAACGATTTAGACATACAGGCACCTTATTTCACTTTTGCAAATATATATATAGCTTTCCTATAAGGTGGAATTCAAAAATACTCACTTTTAGTATGATAAGTATAGATACGTTGTTTTCCATGGTGCCACTTCCAATTTCACAGGATGGCCTTGCATTTGACCTTTATCAAACATCAGACAGGCCAATTACTATTTCCTTACACTCGAGGGAGCATCTATCTCCCTTAGACCGGTTATTTACTTCCTTGGTGGAGATGAATTAACGTTGATACCCAACTTCACGGGTAAGCTACTTACTTGCATGGAATAATGAGCAAAATTAAGGTACTTACGTATTAGTTCATAAACTTAAATTCACATTGTGCTTCACTGAACCATTCATTTGAAATCGAGACCAAAATTATTGCTGGTCAACTTTAATCCATCAGGTAAATTTTATTTAAAACAAAGACATCATGCGTATAGGGAAGTGAGAGGTGTTTTTTCAGTGCGAGAGCGTCTGGAAAAGTGCCTTGGTGGTTATGTAAAAAATCACGAGGGAATTCAAGCGAATAAATAAGACAGTGGGCAATGGGCAGGACATTGTAGTTCCTTGATTGCATCTCGTTGCTTTTAGTTACAATATTTTACCTGTTAGAATCCCAGTGTTTATAATTGTTGTCCGGGGTGTGCGATAGACTTACCTCCACACAATTCACCCCGGGCAACGTATTCTCATACGGCAAAAGTCTTTAAACTGGAAGTCGACTTCCGACTTCAAACTACCATGATCCCACTGTATGTCTTATTCGATCATTTCCACAATACATATCCCACCTTTTCTTTGCCATAGTGTCTATCTGTCTCTTTTACATCTTTGAATCACTTTCCACTTTTTCTCACTTTGATGTTCCTTCTTTCCTCTCTGAAGCCCGAAGTCAGCTAAAGGGCAAATGATAAATATCATAAAACCCGCCATTTTAAATAAATAAATAATTGTAGTTCGCCAATCATTGAAGCACTTATCAAGTGCGTCTAGGTAGGGTTACGGTTAAGAAAATGGTTCAAAAGTTACTAGTCTAAAAGCGCAATAATTTTCATTTTGAAGTTTTCAAGACCACTTTATAAGACATAGTTGATTGCTGTACTTATTATTATTATTATTTTAAATGGCAGGCTTTGTGATACTTATCATTAGCCCTTAAACTTTGACTTCAGCTTCCCCCAAGGGTGGGGGGTACATTTATAGCAGTTCATTAGCCGTCTTCTTGCTTCCCAGTATCTCTGGCTTTCCGTCCTTGTCTTTAGGGCTGGACATTGAATCAGGTGGGTCATCCCCATTTCCTCCTGTAGGTTACCTTGAGGACATGTGGGTTGAGTGTATACTCCCAATCTGTGAAGATATTTTGCCAAGCAATCATGTCCGGTACGTAGTCTAAACTCAGCAACGGCTTCGATTCTTGGCCAGTCGGCTATATCGGAGAGTGTCACTGTCCACTGTTTCTCCTTTGTTCGAGCTCTAAGTTCGTTGCACCTGATTGGTGTACTTAAATATTAAAAGTAGCACTATTTACACTAAAATAATGTTTTTAGAGGTACCAGTTAACATTAGATAGCTCTAATAATTTAATAACAGGGTGTGCGATGGACTCACCTCCACGTGGTGCACCCTGGGCAACGTATACTCGTACGGCCAAAAGGTATATTAACCGGCAGTTGACTTCTGACTACTCAAACGGCAAAAAAGTCTATAAACCGGCAGTTGACTTCTGACTGAAAAGGTCTATTAACTGGCAGTTGACTTCTGACTTCAAACAAAAGGTATATTAACCGGCAGTTGACTTCTGACTTCAAGCTACCATCACCCTACTATATGTCATACTCGACTACTTTCACATTACTCATCCCACCTTTCTCCTTAGCTTTGTGTCTGTTTCTTTTATATCTTTGAAAATCTTCTGTCCCCCCCCCCTTCCTCGATTTTTCTTCACTTTGATGTTCCTCCCCTCTGTGAAGCCTGAAGTCAACTAAAGGGCTAATGATAATTAACATAGAGCCTCCCATTTGATATAAAAAAATATTTAAATAACTGATGGAACATCAGATGAATTTCAGAATGTCCTTTCCTGACCTTAATTTCAGAAGGCATCAACAAATACGGGTAATTTCAAAATTAAAAGTCATCTAGTTGGCAAGATATTCCAAAACTTACATATAGGTCACTCACGTACACACACTCACACTCACAAACAGCTATAAATGGTGGAATAAAAACAATACCAAATAATCAGGCAATGGTCTTGTTGACGTTAGGATGAATTTACGCAGTGGTAAGTCTTTACGCAAAGTAGTTAATTTCCATCCCTTTTTAATCTGGAATTAGTCCAAGAAACTCAATTAGATCGCTTTTTAGTCACCTATGTCAGCTTAATCTGGGCTTAACAGTTATGCTTAACTTCACACGTGAACTATAGGGAAAGCGGAATGACTGCAAATGAATTCCTTATAAGAATCTCCTGACACGTAAGTACCAAGTAATCAGCACACTAAGAAAATCAGAAGTTAAATGCTTAAGTACATAAATGGCATTGGACCAGTGTAAAAGTACATTCTTAATGCAGAAATAGCCTTGAAAGAGCTCAAAGACACAAATACTACGGTGGATCTCAGAGTGATTTAGAGAAATTAATTGAATGTGCTCAATTTCAAATGCAACTTTATATTACACGTGATGCTATTGTACTTTTGCAAAAAAAGGATCATTTAGAAAGTATCACTTGAAGGGCACTACCCTAAAGCAAGCAATATGGAGACAGCATAGATGCTTGGGATTTCGAGATAGGAAATGTCATGCTTCCTTGTCTGTAAAAGAATGGATTTGATTGATTGGGTTATTTTGGATAAAGTGGAAGTGGGTTTATGACATAAGTAGATGTGACTACTATTTTGCAATAAAAACTACAAAATTTGCAACCTTTTCAAAAGGCTGGCCCGAACACAGCCAATGTGTGCGTGTGTGCAAAGGCCAATCTGATTGGCTGCTCGACAGCGCAAGTGTTGCGATCACGGTATGTGCGTCTGTTCCGAACTGAGAAATCATCACATTTCTTCGAAAACATTCTAGAACGTTCCGAGAATAGCTATACGAATAAGACTAACTGTACTGACGTGGTCCCTGCATTATCCAACCCACCACCACGACTAAAGCATTTGGCTTTTATTCAAACTAATTAGCTAGTGACCATTATATGGATTTTAAAAAGAAGCTGATTGACGGATGACCGACCGGATTCCTCAATAGGAGGAGCATGTGTTTCCACTCAGGGTGAGCGTTAGAAAAAGCACTTTTAAATCTTCATTTCGAAAAAAGCCCACTCTATTTAAAACATGAACCTGTATCGAGAAAGGCTTTCAAAATACTGGCACATTTAATGGAAACAAAATCGATCAATCTTACCACTTCAAAGTAATGACCCTGCTACACATAATCAAGTTATTACACAGTGACCTAAACTTGGCAATCTAATTAAAAGTGGGAAGAGAACGGAAAATTCTTTTCGGTTAAGGTTAATAACAGCAAACGAACCTACAGAGCACAACAGATTCACCAAAAATTAACTCCAGTAAGCGAATTGGATCAAAGATGTAATTACCACGCAATAACGGAACACAGATACCGTCGGTAACCTACAATTTTATGATAGTGAATAAAAGGGAATGATAAAAGTATCCTTTATCAATAGCCATTGTTTATTGGCTTTCATCTCAAACAATCTGGACAAATAAGAGGTTGTTTTTACAAGTAAATAAAGAAACTTAGCTGGAAAGAGGGGCTTACCATTAAGTCTGAAAAAAGATTTCGAATATGATAGAAGACTGAATAAGCTTATATATACACACACCGACGCAAATACATGAGCACATTTTCTGCATAGTAAAATGACTAAAGCGAAAAGTGGTTAGAGAATAAAAAGAATACAGAGGTAATAGGTATTATGAATAGTCCACACTTTCATCCATATTTTTTGAGGAGGCAGTAGTTGACTGTTCCGCACTATTAGGATCGGAAGATTGCGTATTGCCACCCGAATTAATTGAACCTCGGAATTCCAACATTTCAATAACCATTTGAAGTTGTTTCACAGCATTACGTCGTGCAGTTCGAACTTCATCCAGACCATCAACACCAATACCGTCTAATTCAAGGATCAATACATCCAAACTTTCCATCAATCGCAAATAATTTTTATCTCCCGGGACACCTGATGCAAAAAATTATGAAAAATGATAAGAAAAAATTGCAATTTCTAGACAATGAAGGGTAAGTAACTTACCATTAAATGCATGCACTTCATCAGTTATAGGTTTGGCCTTTTCAAGAACTCTGGAAATGCGAGCAAAATCATCATCGCTTTTTTTAAGAACACTCGATTCCGGTAATTCCATCTCTGCTTCTCCAAAAGGCTTTGACACTGGAATAGTAGTTTTCTGTTCGGAAGCCGGGGTAGGATTGAATTGATTTCGACAGTTTGCTAAATGAGGCGATTTCGATACATTTTGCCTGTTGACCGAAATAGGAGTTGATCCATTTCCATTGAGACCTCCTCGAGTGGGGACCTCAGTAGGTCGATAAATGAGATTATTGATGGGATGCTGCCATTGTGTTTTCTGATTTCTATGGTCTATGAAATAATATGTTTGACTAGTATCATCTAGACGCATCTCCCAACCATCAGGTATTGGATCAACGTAAGGCGCAGACATGACCAGATACGGCAGTGAAAAATAATGGCACACAAGTGCGAAAATTCCACATATATGTTATGCGGACCAATCAGGTTTCATCATCAGCATTTTAATTAGGTGGGCATAAAAATTTCTAAAAATAAATAAATATTGAGATAAAAAATTTAGATTGTTTAAATTTAATTCGAAATACCTTTTACTCATCTTTAAAGTTTACGTTACTGAATGAATAACAAATTTTAATAGTCCGTAGGATTAATTTTTATTATTTTTCCACAGTGTTGACTTTGAAATTTTGGTGCAAATAGTTATTTTTTAAATTTATTAAACAAGGCATTATTCGATTTTTGTTAACATTTTTATCGAATTTTTAATTACACACTTGCCACTTTTTTGCGTTCTAAGAACCCTTATTGCCTTTGCACTCCAGGTGATTAACTTCTATTAATCATGGCAAATCCACCCACTAGATATGACTAAATATAGTTCATTCAGCCAAAATAAAAATATGGCACAACCGAAGGACAGTTTCTCCAGGTCACTTTATTAAATTTTAATCTGCCATGTTGAACATTAGCTTTGAAAGGGACTTGCCCGGAATAAATTTCCAAATATTTGAGCTCTCCCATATATCACTCTTTCTAAACCACATGGACTCTGCATCTTTGTATTGAGGGCTCATCACAAACTCAGTTCATTTCCTATTCTACTCATTGTAAGAAAGACTCTGAATTGCGACACTTCTTTTGGACAAAATTAGGATTTTCTTTTTTCTGCCAGAACTATTTCAGTGACTGATAAGTCAACTTTTAAGTATTTCTATCTATTTCAGACATGGTATGTTCAATTTTGTACTTCCAATCTCCCAATAGAAATTAAAAATAGCCATACTAGATTTTGGGTTAGATTTTACAACTTGTTTTTTGGATCTTTTCTGATGGGCCATAAATGATGATGAAAACGGGAATTAATTGAGCCCTTCTGATCCTCTGCTACTTTTTACATGTGCTCGTGGAGGCGTCTGAAGTCGTATCTAGCCGCAATTTCATGCTCACTGATTTTCAAATTCACGTATTTGCGTGTTTTGACTTCTTTGACCTTAACAGCTGAATTAAGCCATTCTCCTGTCTTAGATTTACAGAAATGTGCGCAGATTTTTCTATCATAAAAAATTATCTCCCATCATGTTTTAAAGCTGTTTTTTCTTGAAGATTTTGTCAAACTTATAATTTTAGATGTCTTCCACAACTTATGTAAAAGTCATAAAGATTCTGATCATACCGATTTTTTCAATATGAATTACCAGAGTTTTGGCATTTATATTGGTAGAATAGACAGAACTGGGGAAAATGGCATCCGTTACAAAATCGTCAGGCAGAAGAAGATAATGAGGATTGAAGAATAAGCCGTTTTAGTGAAATTGAATAGCTATGACAAACTGAAACGCGATTGAAGTTTTATTTTTTCTGCTGGACATTTTAAGACAAAGCCGTTTCCATTCTCATATTCTTGAATTGATACCATTATACAACAACTTCGGGAAAGGTGATATTACGTTTTTTACCAAGTTCGGATTGAAAGCTAGATTCAGTTCGATTGAAAAGACTATGAAGCTTGATTTTGACACCTGCTTATGAGATACAATATTCCGTTGATTTACAACCTTACAGATACCATGATTTAAATCGCAACAACACTTCTCGAATAAGAAGTGCCTCATTTGGCAAAAAATACATGAAACAATTTACTAGATTATTGTGATAATGGCGCAAAAACCCACCGATTAAATTAGCACTCATCCACCACCTGTTAATTACATTCTAATGCGAAGAATACGTATGAGAGTTCTAACTCCTATTATTAGTTTTACTGCATATCCCTATCACTAACCTCGCATAAGAATTAGCTCGATACTTCTCAAGGTCACCGGCGTTCTAACCGAACATGTACCCACTAACCTCAACACCTATTGCCTTTGCAAGTACTACAACGAAAATTCAGTAAAATGATAGTTTTTTAAAGGAAATTGTGAAAAATACAGTCATTTACAAAATACCATTAAATAGACACAAATAGACAGATAAGTATTTCAAATCAAGGAGCACAAACAAGGAAAGCGGCTACCGAAGCGTGCGTTTCCTAGCGGCAGCTGCTCTGGTTCTTTTAACAACAGCCAAGGGTAACTTGACATCATTCTCTTTCATAAAGATGGCCAATGCTTCTTCTAGTTGCTTTAAACGTGACTCATAGGAAGCCCGCTTTGGAGCCTCTAAATCGGTTAAGAAATGATGCATGAATTTAGCATGGAAACGTGCGCACTCTGCTTCTATCACGGCTTTCCTCGGAGCCTTCTCGTAGGTTCCATAGTCCTTGGCTAAGGTTACATACGCGCACTCCGGACTCATCTCCCTATGTTTCTCTATCGGATTGTCCTAAAAAAGAATATGCATTCTGAAAATGACTAAATCTATCACAACATGATATAGGGAAAAAAATATTACGGCGCCTAACCCTGGTTATCCGCCTATTCATCTGCCAACCAACGATTTCTGAAATGACAAGCCATTTTAATGAGTGTAAACTTCAATATGTCCCAAATCAATGATTTCCGGCATAGGTGTAAAATTAATAATAATCAATAGACCGAGATTAACGGTAACTCTATGTGCACAAGAAGATGCAAAGAACAGTAATAGATGGTAAAGGTCGATCAACACTGATAGAAGCGAAATAATGCTCTGACGTGGACCAGAAATACAACATCAACCGCCACGTACGATTTGTTCAGTCAGCTAATCACATTCTGGCACATTGCTCATGAAAGTCCAATAACTACCAATGGTTGATTCAATCTCCTCTTACCAATCATACCGAAACGTCGACATAGGCGCGAAAATTTGTCAAAGTCATAATCGCATATTACACATAAGTAATACCAAATCGCACCAATCCTTCTTAGACGGGAAAGTTCCCAGAACATCCCTACGTCCATACCAATATATTCAACAGTAACTGCAAATATAGAAGTGAAACCAAAAAACTGGAGCTATTCGTATTTTCATCAGATGATCACTTAATGTGTGGACGAAAATGAGCTTCAAACTGGTGGTCAAATAATATTTTTTCAAGAATTAAAATTTTCCCGATCACTCCTTGGACCGATTGGTGTAGCAATCGCTCTGATTCATGCGTCAGACTGCATACTTGGCCTCTCACGTTCTGACTCCGTACTTACCTTGATCACTGTCAAGGAAAAGGCGACGATTTTTGGCGACAAGGAGCTTTATACGAAATGAGGACAATGTGTACAATATCAGAGATTATTCAGTCAATTGATAGCTATATCCACTCTCGACTTCTTAAACATATTAATGCAAAGACCCCCACCCCCAACTCTACCATACTAGTCTACCTGTTCACCACTTCACTCTGCCAAAATGGTCTACCTGTTCACCACTTCCAAGCTAGTTATCAATCAACCTACCGATCGCAACTATCTTCAATAAATAGTCTGTTGAGTAGCTAGAGAGGAACTAAATATCTTAGCTGCCAGAGCAACATAGAGGTCTTTGAAACAGGTAGAAATGAAAAAATCATTACGTACTGATGTCTTTAATATGTCCCGTTATTTTCTAGCTGAACTTGTAAAGAGGATAGTTTTTGACGAAAATCCACTTAAAATCTTATTTTTATTAAATTAGAGCGCCTTCCAGCAACTTCAATTTGCAAGATAATTTTAACATTGTATGACAGAAAAATAAGATCGGTTTAAAATGGTTCGAATATGAGACTACAGTCCCCTTTATTAGAGATTATAACAATTGGAGCGATTGAGGAATCGAAAGTAATTGTTTTCAAGAAATGAATCAACCTTACACACTGCACTAAGGCAATGTCAAGCCCAACTAGAGTAACAGGAAGCCATGTTTGAAAGAACCAACCTCTATATCTTTTATTAGAAACACGCAAACATATTTCATTGTTAGCTACCGAATAATAATCCTTTCATCGAAACAAGGAATACAAAACGACTAAACTAACAAAGGGAATGCAACTTTATCTAATCACCTTCTCCCTTAGCCACACTGATTCAAAAGCTTCCGAAACTTAAGTTGGCATAAATGCAATTATTTGCAGCTGATTTTCGCAGATGGAACACTTGAGGCTCACCAGTTAATTTATAGAGAATGTCAAGCATTCGAATTTCAACAATATTGCAGTGACTAACGATAACACGTAGAAGAGTGTAGACTAGCAACTAATGAGCCTTAGAGAAAATGCTAGCAATTAAGTCACAATGATGCGAAGTCGTACTCAATAAATAATCACAGCATTGGATACGCATTAGCTATGAAGACAAGCGGTTCAGGAGTTCATTGACAGATAACGTAATTTGAGATAAGTTAAAAATATTTCCAAGAAAAATTAAGAAGGTGATAGCATTTTCAAATGGCAGAACTCATTCTTTAACATAAAAAAATAAACTGCATAGCCAAGTCAAACAACAATTAGAAACTCACTTTCGGATCCCATTCACTGAATACTTTATGACAAACAAAGCACTGAGTAGCGTCACTCGATAAATCCGGTCTGTAAATGAAACCTGCCTCCGCTAAAGTTTTAGGAATACAAATGTCCATAGAACCCGTGTATGGCCAATTTTTAAAGGTGACAAGACGACCAGGAACAAGAGTTAATGGATCATCAAGAAACATTGACATCTATAAAAGCGAAATTGAAGTTAGCCGTGAATAAAATAGCTGCAAGGATTACAAACAAACGCAAAATTAAACCAATGCAATTTATAATTTCTGAAATAACAATAAGTCGTTAATAAAGTTTGACTTAGTGCATACGGCAGTTTGGTAAAAACGATTTCCAACCCTCAACTACACGAGAACCTACTAATTCAGTCCTTCAAAATTTGCTTCGGAATATCCCTTACTCTTATCAATATAAATAAACACCAATGTTCTATCGATTTAGCATTTGATATCAATCTGTGCATTAATAATTTCAATCTAAGTCAAAATTATTATATTTATGCTTTATTCAACTAAGTTCAGACATTTCCATTATTTTTACTTTCCAGAATTAACTTAACGCGCTAGTAATTAGTAATATGCTTTTATTTCGAATTATAACTTATTAATGAAGATTTTTTATTATCCTCTGAAATTTTTATCTTAGAAACGACGATTTTCATAAACCGTTACAATGCTTTGATATCCTAAATGGATATTCAGATGAATATTCATAGACACTTTTGAATTAGTAAATTACAATACTTTTCAATCATTTTTCTCTTCATCAATTAAATTTTACAAGCAATCATTGGGATGAAAATATTGTCGGTGTTTGTTTTTCTAAGAAATAGTGTTTAGTTTTGCTGCGAAAGCACGCGGATAATTAGTCTTTTACATAATGTACCTGCTTCTAACTAATGCTAAATTAAAATTTATTTTTGTGAGTAGTTCTTGGTTTGTAATGAATACAATTGCACATTGCTAACTCTATATCTATTTGCGTGAATAAGTTCGCTTGGATTTGCTATAGTTTTAAGGGTAACTAAAGAAATCGTAAAGATATGTCACTCGTAAAACACTATATTAAAATAAGGGGGTGTGCGATAGACTTATCTCCACGTGGTGCACCCTGGGCAACGTATACTCATACGTCAAAAAAGTCTATTATTCGGCAGTTGACTTCTCACTTCAAACTAAAGTCTATTACCTGGCAGTTGACTTCAAACTACCATGAGTAAGTCTATTAACTGGCAGTTGACTTCTGAGTTCAAACTATCATGACCCCAAGTCTATTATTCGGCAGTTGACTTCTCACTTCAAACTACCATGGCCCTACTGCTTGTCATAATCGACCCCTTCAACAGTACTCAACTTATCTTTTTCTCTAAATTCGTGTCCGCCTGACTCTTTTGCAACTGTGAATCACTCTTCTGTTCCCCTCCCCTCGACTTTCTGCTACTTTGATTAACCTTCCCTCTGTGAAGCCCGAAATCAGCTAAATGGCTAATGATAGCTATCAAAACGCCTGTCATTTGAAATAAAAAAATAAATATTAAAATATGAGAAAGGATTTAAAGGAACTTCATAGAACCTGCTTAGGATCACCAGATGTAGAACGGCAAACATTGATGATAAGTAGTAGAGAAGGTTGACGTTCAGGTTGCAGTAAAAAACAGGACATTAGTGAAGAGTCTCAGTTAGGGAAAGTTTCCCATGGGCTTGGGTTAGGAGTAAGAATGTAGGAGTTGGAGATTAATAATGGTCTTCGTTCAGAAAACAGAGTGAGAGCATTAATTAACGTGGGAATTCAAAAGTATGGGAATGGCAAAGGTCGCTGTAATTATCAAAGTACCGAGGGAAATTTCATTCGATTGCAGACACCAACACGCGAGGTTTAAAAATGAAGTTAATATATAAGCGCGGCTTGATTTACGTACAAGGATGCGTGGTGAATAGTTCCTGTCGACTGATAGATGTTCCAGTTACAGTCACGCTCAATTAATTAGGCTCATGAAATGTGTGCATTCCAAATTCATTTTATATACCTAAACGTGCCACATAAACAAGGTTAACAGCACAGAAAAGCTAAATTATCGCTTTTAAAGCTATAGAAGCTAGAGCTTTTTATATCCTGGTAAGAATTCATTTATAGAACAACACGACCGATGTCCTTGAATTCGATCATCTTCAACGTCCACTTGTAATGGAATTTTCAATTTTGAATAACTGTGTATCTAAAGCAATTTACTTGCTTCACAATAGAAGTTTCTGCTGAATGGATCGAGTGTGTCATTAGTGCTCTCAAAAGTTAGAACTTAAGATTAAAAATAGTCGAGCTCTTTTAAATGTTTAAGGAATTGTTCAGACACTAAATTAGATATTAGTATGCATGAGTTAAAACTGTATTTATTAACTTTCAAATTCGATTGAAGTTCTCACAAATTATTACAAAGTACAAAAGTTAATTGAGGCTTCAGGATAGAAGAACTGGAGTTATATTTTGGGTATGAATGCAAACATCTCAAATTTGAAATTAAAATGATAACTTTCACTATTTTTTGTCATCATCTTCTTCTTTGTTGACAGGCAAAACATTTTAAAAATAATCATTCTTTGGTCAATTTTTCGTTTAAATGTTCAAATCCGCTACTCTAACAAAATTATCACCAGTTCTGTAAATTGTGTATGCGAAAATAGGTAATGCAACTTTTTTTAAATGTAACTTAAGTTTCCAGATATTTAGTGAATTTTCTGATTTATTGGAGATTTTAGTTTACACTGTCAAAATACTTCAATCAGTATTGCTTTTTATATATGGTAATTTCGAATAATTCAATATGCTCCATCTTTAAGTTGAATTCCAAAAATTCTATTTTTTCAAATATGATTTGCCATATACTCTTTAAGTCAGGACTTACAATCCACGATTGAAGAATGTTTGGATAAACTGCAGTTAAAAATTTAATTATCACTTTGGAATACACTTGTTTCCATTGATTTTTGGGCCAAATTTCTGTTAGTGCAGACCAGTAAATTATTTAGAGATATCTGTGTGGAAACAAGAATTCGTGGAATTTTTTGAAATTCTTCTAGAGTCTACTTAGTCGCTGACTATTGAGAACCTGAAAAATTAAGTTATATCAAATGGTAGGCATTTTGATAGTTTCATTAGCCCTTTAGGTGACTTCAGGCCTCACAGAAAAGAAGAAATATCAATGTGAAGAAATTCGAGAGGGGGGGGGGGGAGACAGAAGAGTGTTTTAAAGATGTAATAGAGAGACACAAAGGCAGAAAAAAGGTAGGAAGAGTACTGTGGAAGTAGTCGAATACGACATACAGTGGGGAACCATGCAATCTTTTTCGGTTCGAAGAAGAGACTTTCTTCAACTAGGATGTCAACTCTAAGAGATACATTTTAATATATTGACCTCCAATACATCTCATCTTTTCCATAGCTTTAAAAACGAGAAATCTGCCATTCCATCGTTTATTTTTTTCGAATTCACATAAAATGAGAATTTACCGTGTTATAGGAAGGAGTCAAACTTATTGACTATTTTAGTGATAGCGATCTAGTCCAACCTCAGATTTTCGTAGAGTGCTGAAATACTTCGAAATGCTCTTAAGAAGAATCTGTGTGAGTTTATCTAATTGCTTTATAGCGTAGTAAAATTACTTACCATTAGAAACAGGTCGTAGGCACCCCTAGGGGGTCAAATAATCTGACTGTTTCAAATTAACTCTAAGCCAGAGTAGGGCTCTTCACGAATAAGTCAAATAATCAGATTGTATTGATCCTTATTTTAAATTGTTTATTACTCTTGGTGGCATATGAACTTGCCTGTTAAATAGCATTCCATTTTTAACGTGGGAAATGTAAACACACTGGCGCAATTTTCAAACAGGCGAGAGAGAAAGAGTAGCGCCGTGATGAAAGACTCAGGCAAATCTGGCAGAAAGTAGATGTTCATCCAAATGTATAGTCAACACGAGTTTCACCCCCCCCCCATCAATTGTGGCCTTTAGTTTAGTTCGTAAATGCATGGTGCATTGTGAACAACAATTCATAACACATAGGACGCAAGTATCAGAGTAACTCCCCCCCCCCACCCCCACCCCCACCCCCACCCCCAAATCAATGACAGGAAATTCTTTCTGTTTTAAGCTGATAAGACAGAGATGCTGTAAAGATACATTACTAATAAATCAACACTGATGGAAAAAACGGAAGTTATTTCCAGGTTTAGTACAAATTTAACAATCTAGGGGTAGGCACTTGGTTGAATTTTGTTAAGATTCGATTATTACACTGAAAAGTAGGGCAAGGGGACTTAATCAAACACGGTTGTTTTACTAAATGAATAAATGCTGGTTTTATTTTAAGCATCTTTTAAATGTAATAGAAAACCTATGATAGTTAACAGAGCTCATTTAGATGTTTGCATTAAAACAAATACGCTTATGGATAATAATTACTAGTATATTTAAGGCTTGTCAACTTAATTTTGTGGAACTAACTACTTAAGCAAAGGCAAACCTTTAAAGGCTGTAATGGTACATCTTCTCGACGAAAATTATTTAAAAACAAAATGTGGATAAATCGATGTAAAATGAATTTTCTGTGGATAAAACAGTCGAAACTGAAAACTGTGTAACTTCTTTACACCTTTACTAACAAAATATGATTTAAATTTTACTTGGATTAGATAATTAATCAATGGCCATAAAACTGTAGCAGATTGCTACCTTAGTAAAGCCTGACCGACTCAGAAATCTCTATGGCAGATTCTCCAACATCTAGCTAGACTCCCAGAACTAGCTAAGCTATAGCCCAGCTATAAAGGAAACAGACGTGTAGCACGGAGTACGTTTATTCAGGGCGTATATTGCGGATCAAGAGTGTACACGCAGGGAGCTACTCATGATCAGGATGGGGGATTAGGTTAAACAGAGGTTAATGATTGGTCACTGTTTGTACGGTCGCTGCACACAGAGTTGTACGGCGCACCTCCCAATTCTGGTGAGTAGACATGCAAGCATACGATGACGCACAACGCGATAACGTGTCCCACAAAACTGACGTTGAATGGGTAAATGATTTCATACTTTCCAAATTAACTAATTAATGATGATAATTTTGTTAATTTGTCACATGCAACCTTATCTGATTTCCCATAATACGTGAACTTTGATTT